GTTTGGCCGGGCTGGGCCCCCTCGTGAGACCTGGCCGAGACTCTCGGGTTTGCCCGGGGCTTCCCCCCCGCTCCCGGCGCCGCGGGGCAGCGCCGAGGGCTGCGGGCCGCTCCCCCGGGCGGCGCCTCTCCGGCTCCTTCTTCACCCAGGGCCGGGGAAAGCTTCGCTGTAAAGTCAAGTAAACGTTACCCGTTGGGGTAACCCCAAGTGCCCCGGCAGTAGCGGCTGGAGCTCCCGGCGCTCTGCGCTGTCCCAGTGAGCAACAGGTGGGTGGTGAGGAGCAGGGTGCCCTGCTCCCAGCTGGGCTTCCCCAGCAAGTGTTCTCCTTGGGTGCTAGGGCACCCTCGAGTCTTCATCTGCGTGTTTCACTTTGCCATTTCATTGTTTTGAATTGCAAAGGCCATTGACTTAGTGAGAAACAGGCTGCAGTGTGTTTTCATAAGGTTAAAGGAGCTTGAGTAGATGCAGCCTGTGAAATGCCAAATTTTTAAGTTTTAAGTAAACTTATTGACAATGTGTTTACCATGTAAATATGGAATATAATTTTTCTTTTTCTTTTTTTTTTTCTCCATCAGATTGGGTAAAGTATCAATCTTTGGTAAATCAGTGAGCTGTAGCAAGCCCAAAAGAGAGAGTGGACATTTCCTGGGTGAAGATCACTAATACCATTGCTGGGTCAAAGCCTGGATCAGAACAATATTTGAAACCCTAGGGAAATCACAGTTATTCACCTCAATGATTTTTTTTTCCTTTGTGGTAGTCTGCCTGGCTAAATGTTAATGACTCAATGGCTGCACAGTATGATTCATGCCCATGTCTTGTCCATGTGACCACCGGGTGCTTCTGTGCACCCTCTAACGTGCGCTCCTTAAAGTGTTAGGAACGGAGGGCCGTTTTCCTGGCTCTTTTGAAGGTCTGGGAGAATTGCCCGAGTGACCTCCATGCTCAGAGGCAGTACTGTTCTGTCTCTCTACTGTTCTGCCTCTGCTGCTGTTCTCAAATTTCATGTACATAAGAAGTGTATGTTTTTTGTTTATTTTTCCTTCAATGTACTTATTTTTCATAAGAGAGTGTGACTTTAAAGCCATAAGAGAATATGACTTTAAAATGCCGTCTAAGAGAATTTACACATAGAAAGGGGAGTTCAATAGGATGTATTCAACTAGGGCTTTAGACAAGAGCTGTAAGATTGTTTGTTTGAATACCTGATGTATAGAGTTGGCCAGATAATATCGAAGAGTTGCTGAAATACATTTTATTTTCCTCAAATCTGCTATTCAGAACAGAGCACTTGCATAGTACTTTTTTGGAGGCCTAATGTTTGGTTGGGTGGGAATGTTATCTTAACCTAGCTTCTTAAAGTTACTTTTAAATAAGTATTCTTGAGAACTGTACGTCTTGTTTTTGATGGAAGAACTTGTACCATTTTATTTTTAAAAGGAAGTAGCACACTTTCTTATTGCACTGAGTACGTGCTTTGGCAATATGAGATGTTGATGGCTTAAATTCTAGTGTTATAAGATATCTTTTCTGATATGCTTGATATATTAGATAGCTCACAAAAGTGCAAGTTCCTTCTATTATTCGTTCAAATCAAAAGCTTCTAGGTATAACATCCCTTTAGTTTGATTTAATTTGCTTTATTTTTTTTTCTATTTCAGCACTTCTATTCTTCCTTCTGTAGTAATCAGACAAGCTATCAAGCCTGAAATAAAAGTTAGTAGTTCTGTTTGTACAGTATTCTTCCATAAGTCAGCCTGTGTTTGGATTTCCCATTTCACTTTTAGGCCACTCTGATTTCCCTTTCTTTAATATTTCTTTTGCATGACTTTATTTTTCTTTTGCATGACTATGCGCATTAGGACGTTATGTAATTCATGAACATTTTAAAGTCTGCTCTGTTTCACAATTGGTAAATGTCCCAGACCAGTGCTGATTGGGGACAATTTTAGTAGTCAGTTGTTGTATATGAGTGTCTGTTGCTAAATAGAAATATTTCTGTCTAGTAGAATTGCCATTCATTTTCAGCGGTAGCATGGATGGAATCCTGGATGTATTTTGTCTTCTGCAAACTTTACATTCTGGTTGCAGTTGCAAAGATAGCTGCCTTCAGAACAGATCAAGTTGGAGCCAATGTGACATACAAGGTACCAAACCAGTCTCAGCTCTTAGACAGCAAAAAGCAGTTTCTTAATCTGGAATACTGCTATCTGGGAGGATCAAATGGGTTGTGACAAGGTTTGTTAATTAAAAAAAATCTCAATCTCAAAACTGTCTGGAGTTGCTAAGCAACTCTCATCAGTGCCCTGCTGATTCTGCTGTACAGGATCTGTAAGGCTCATTGGCACCCACGCAGCGTAACATGAGACATCTTTTATCAAAACAGACTGCTTTAGGAAGATGGAGTTCTCCCTCCTGACTTCAGAGGGTGCAGTAGGAGTAACCCCCAGTATTGTATACATACATGCTCTGCTCTTCACATGGGTTCCCTTTTCTATGGTGCTCACCTCTAGTTTCAATATGTTCCTTTTCAGCAACAAAGTTGTTTTTAAAAAGCTTGCTTTCTTTGGAGATGGTGGGGAGGTCAGCAGCAGTTCACCCTCTCTGCTCTTTTTTTTTTTTTTTTTTCCTGTGTTTTTTTTTCATACTTGAGGGTGGGGAAGGCAAGTGGAACAAGGATGAGGTGTCACTGAAGAGTGCCAGAGGCCAAGTGCAAGCTTGAGTAGAAACCATCAGGCTTAGAAACTGTCTTCAGGAAGAAAAAGCCTAGCAGATGAGTGTAAACTAAGGTGAAACTTGGGCCTTCATGGCCCTTTTAGGGATATCAGTACTCTGCAGGGAACAAATGATGTATTAAAACTAAGCAATTATTATCTTTTGAATAAAAATCTATTTTTGATGTTCATTATAAGAAGATATTCAGTTTCTTACAGCAAGATAAAAATACTATGTAGAACTTGTGTAGCCCTTTGTCAGATTTGATCTGACAGGTATAACAAACCAGGTAATGTGAGGGACTTCCTCTATTTTTTACAAATTCATGTGTGTGTGCGTGGCTGTGCAGTGATAGAAGGAATCAAATTGTTGCATGGGAACCTTAATTGTCTACTAAATAATCAGATGATTTCCAGACAATAAATTTCAGTATTTCATAATCATTTCATGGACTTCTTTTTGCAGTCAGTTGAATTTGCTGATCCTTGGGTGGTGGACAGAATGAATTTCCCAAACTAGTCTGATGCCTCCAAAAAGTAAAGCCTACTAACTGTTGTAAAACTGAGAGAAGTATAGGGGTAGTTCTGCATTAAAAGTGTTTCCTTTTACTCTTACTTACTCTTTAATGAAAAAAAAAATGTGGCAGTTAATGAAACATATTCTCAAAGTATATCTGGTAAATAAGTATAGTATATAAAGCTGTCTGAGATATCTGGTAGCTAGCTTGCTCCTTATTAACTGGAGGGGTTTTCTTGATCTGTTGCAGGAACAAAGAAGGTGACTTCCTGTCCTGGACTTGGTCTGTTTTATACCGTACTGTCTGCCTTCCTTTTCTCAGTGGCCTCTCTATTTCTAAAAAAAATAGAAGATATGCACGCTGTGGAAGTGAGTGCATTTCGATGCATTTTCCAAATGGCATTTGTTCTTCCTGGTTTAATATACTACAAGTAAGTGTAGCGAATGTTTGAATTAAGAGTTATTTTGTAAAAATATAATCCAGAATTAACACCCAAATTGGAAATTAAATCACATTACATCATTAATTCAGATTTTAATTGAATAAATTGCATTGCTTTGGAGCAGCATTTTTTATTTCAAACTAAACTAGTTGATAATTTGTCAGTGCAGTTCAGAAAACTGAAAATGTTTGTCTCCCTGAATTGTGGTAGTTCCCACAGTTCCCATCTGATTATATCAGATGTATTGATCCTCTATTCAATGTTGTTTTTAAATAATAATAATAATAATTGTTAGATATTCTTCACTTATTTTTGCAAGAACAAATTTAATACCCAGGTGACCCTGAATGTGATTGTGGGTTATGGGAATTAATAGGTCTGTGATCAGACAGTTTAATATACTTTGACATTTGCAACGAAGTCTCTCATTGTGAAAGTCTATACAGTTAAATGTAATTGAATGTTAATCACAAAATAAGCATGGAAGTAACATATTTCTTTTTTCCTCTTAATTTTCAGAACAGGGTTTTTGGGACCAAAAGGTAAAAGGATCTTTCTTTTCTTCCGAGGATTCTTTGGCTCTAGTGCAATGGTTCTTCTCTACTATGCTTTCCAATCAATGCCCCTAGCTGATGCCACTGTTCTAACTTTTAGCAGTCCTGTTTTTACATCATTGTTGGCTTGGATCTTTCTCAAAGAGAAATACAGTATTTGGGATCTTCTGTTTACCCTCTTCGCAATTGCTGGAGTGATTCTTATTGCCAGACCACCATTTCTTTTTGGGTCAAAAATTGCAGGGATTGAAGGCAATTACACAGATCGTCTTAAAGGAACTATAGCAGCAATTACCAGTGCATTTTCTACATCTTTGACTTTTGTTATACTGAGAAAGGTGGGGAAATCCGTGCATTACTTTTTGTCCATTTGGTATTATTCAGTAATTGGTTTTACTGGATGTGCTATAACATTGTTTCTTATGAATGAGTGGAGTTTACCGTATTGTGGTAAAGATAGAGTTCTTCTAGTATCAATAGGTATTCTAGGACTGGGGGGTCAGATATTTCTCACAAAAGCATTACAGAAAGAGAAAGCTGGACCTGTTGCCATAATGAAAACAATGGATGTGGTTTTTGCTTTTATTTTACAAATTCTTTTTCTTAATCGTCTACCAACTTGGTGGACTGTGGGTGGTGCTCTCTGTGTAATAGCTAGTAGTTCTGGGACTGCCATTCGTAAGTGGCACCAAAGCTCAAAAAAAGCAAAACAAAATGAAATCTAATTCAGATACTATTTCATCACAGAAACATAAATTATCTTGATATACAATATTTATTTAAATACTTCATTTATCAAATCAGAGTATCCAGTTATCCTCAGTAAAAATCAATTTTTCTTTTTAAAACAAAATCAAAGCTGTCTGGACAACTGATTAGGTGTATGTTTTTGTCTCATGTTTAGGCATGAAAGTATGAAAACTAGCAAGATCTTGAGACAGCAAGCAAGCAACTTTTAAAGTTGATGATAGTTATGGGACAGACAATTTGATTTCTTTTTAATTTTTAATCCTTCTGATTCTTCACTTCTTAGACCCTACCTCTTGAGAAGTGGGAATCAAGATTTTACCGACTTTTGTTATTATTCAGTGCTTGATTTCCAGAGGGATTGCAGTACAAAAAAATAGACTATAATGAAGAATTATAGCCCTATGAACATCCAATTTCCATACAGCTTACACATTTGTAAATGTTCAATTTTTTTTTGCACAATACAAACTCCAAATACGTAAGGATTTATTTTTTTTGTTTGAGCTCTAAATGAACAAAGGATGTCTTATCTTTCCAAGTAATGCAAAAATCACCAGCTTTGCTTTAAAAAGACAAACAAAAAAAAGGCAAACACAAAAAGCCCACATAAGTTTGCACTTGATTTACTGACATAATGCAATAACCAACTCTCATTGCTTTAACATAATGTTTCCAATACATGTTTCTTTGGTTACTGAAGTTCTGGTGAGGAAAGGCAGTAGGTATTTATATGCCACTTTAAATTAGCTGTTTCTTGTGGTATGGAGTGTTACGCTGTAGCTGCGCTCTTTTTTAGTCTATGCAAAAGATTGCTTTTATTTAGCATAGTTTTTGTTTGTTTGTTTTTTGTTTGGTTTGTTTGTTTTACAAAAAGACTCTCTATGAGACTGAGTTTAAGGTAGACCTTCCAAAGTTAGGTAAATGCTTTATTGTAAATCATCCTAAGAACATACTGGAGGGCACAGAATAATCACACTTTCACAGAAAATGTGAGTTTGCCAAGGTGAAACTGAAGAATGCGAGGCCAGAGTCAGACCTGCTTGGCTTGCGACACAGAGGCTGGCACACTGTGTCCAGCAGTGCCAGTTGACAGCTTCAGGCCTACTTCTCCAGCTGCCCTTGTTAAATTTTCAGCTAGCCACTTGCACAGTTTCTCATTTTGATAGACTGTATCTTATTAGCAACAAATATTAAGGAAAAACTGATTCTTGCTATTGATCCATTTCCTTCATGCTTGTGGAGGAATATATTTTCAGTGTCATGTGGGGGGATTTTTCCAAGTGGATCCTTCCATACCTTTGTGTCTCAATAGTGCTTAAAGAGTGATTTAACTTGTATCTTAATTTGGCCCTTTACTTTGCATCATGAGGTGCTTTTCAGTCATTTACACTTGCTCCAGTGTTTTCTTAATGGAGGAAAATGTTGTACTCTTTGCAGTTCATACACTACTTCTAATGATCTTGGAAAAGAAAATACGTGTTTTCTTATTTGATTTGGACGTGTCCAGTCACACAAACTTTTCTTTGCCAGTAAGCATTGCAGCCTGGCAGGTCAGATCTACTGGAGCTGATTCCTGAAGGACTGGAACCCATATAGTTCTTTGGGGTGCATCTAGATGGTATGGTAGACGCTACCTTTGTGCAAGATTCTGGTTTTCAATGTATGTGATATCAGGGTGTTGGTTTATGGACCTAATGTTCCACGACTCCCCATACGGTCATGAATGATCTGCAACTGCTCCCATGCTTAATAGGAGTGTGCTTGAATTGACTTTCGTAAAGATACAATTGATAGCAGGTCAGATTAGTATTTGGTTTGTCAGCTGGTCTCAGTACATCCCTTATGCCAGTGCTAGTGCTTATCTGATTACTGGATTATTTATTTATTTATTTATTTATTGCTTGATCCAAACCTATATGATTGTCTAAGGCTTCATCTATTTTTTTTTCCTGTTCCTAAACCTTCTCAAAAATTGTCTTTGTAGAGAGAAGAGCAGAATAAATCAGGAGGGTTTTTTTTCATCCATTTGAAATAAACCCTTTGTTCTCATATTCAGTTCTATAAAGAGCTGAGTGAGTGCATCTTACAGAGATGGGCTATCAGGGAAATTTAATAATTTCTTAAGATAACTATTTAAACAAGTTCCTATGCTGTAGAACACTGTGTTTGGAACACTACTGTGAGTTTGAAATGTGTTTCAGAGCATTGTTTAACCAGTGTGACAACAATGGAATTAATTATTGGTTCTGTAGTCATTTGTTCTCTTCATAAAGCATGGCTTCTACAACTTGCTTTTCCAGGTTACTTTGCCAATGTCAGATTTAAGCTTTATTTTTTTTCTTAAAAACCTCAATTAACATTTGAAAAGAAAATAAATTTTAAAAATGCTTTAAAAGTGAAAAACTATTTTTTATCTTGAAAGCCTTTAAGAGATTTAACTCCAAATTATACAAAGTGTAGTTACTAAAAATACCGTTTTAGGGTAATTGATACAATAGGATAGTTGCACTTTTTTTCCCCAGAGTTTACACTTTGAGAATCTGAAATGAAACTGTCTGAACTTTGTTTTTTTCTGGGTGACACTTGTAGAACTTTTTACCTCTAGTTTTTTTTTTTTTTAAACTTTTGAAAGCTTTCCTTGTATGTTATAACAGTAAAGTCTCAGGGTCTCAAATGTTATTTTTCGAGTCAGAAATATGTTATCAATGTTCATCACCTATAACTCTCACTAGAGGACATTATAATATTTTTAGTTTTTCATAAATGTAATTTCATTTTCTAAATTTTTCCATTATGTTAATATGAAATATTGTTGCATAGCAATTGCTCTAAAATTAGTTTTGTTTCTCTTAAGTTTCAGACCTATTGGTTTCAGTATACCTTGAATAGAGTAATAAATAATTATTGGTTGTGTTGCACATAAATCTAGGGTAAAAATATTTAATTGTTGTTGGTGTGTCAATTTAAGCATGTTTTGTTTTTTTGTTTTTTACTATGCAAAACACTGTAATCATGGGTTGTGTCATCAGTAGGACTTTGTAGCCTTAAAGTCTTATGTACCTGAATCCTTTATGTGAAGCTGAAAAAGCTGTATAATATCACTGTGTAATTCCTTTTGGTTTAGGTTGGTTGTCAAAATTTGCTCTAAAAGCTCTGTAAATGCACCTGTACTAAGAATTCAAGGAGCTCATTGTGTAGACAAAGGAAATCTATGCAGTTAAAATGGATTTCCTACATTTCTCTTAACACCCAAATAGACTGACCTCAGCATAAAAGTATTAGTGAAATAACTTCAAGCTGTATTTTTTTTCTGTAATCTTAAACTGGGATCTTTACCAATTCCAAAAGCTGTTTTCAAGACAGATCTTTGTGTAACTGATAATTGCAAGATGGATCTTAATACTTATCATTTGGTATAAAGATTTCTTTCCTCTCATTTATTCTTCCTAAATGAGCTTTGTTCAAGAGGTGGCTATTGCAGGAGAGCTGATTTTTGAAGGGGCAACTTCTTAAAAGTTCTTTCATTTTGTTAGTGGCAGTAGTCAAGCAGGAAGAATCTGTTTTCCAGTTCTCTAATAGACATGCAGGCTCACCCTTGGCATCGATCCCACGAGGGTAAAAAAGTATGATCTCCATTTGTGGATGAGTTCAGGATCGGTAATGCTGACACCAGATGTGTAACACTGACTTCAGCACATTGCAGTTACCAAGAGAATGTTTTTCTGGCTTTAACTGCCTAGTCAAAAGAATGTTTTGACTTCATATTCCTGCAGATGCAGGTAACCTCGGGGCAGAACATACATAGAGTTCTGTAAATTGTTGGTGACAATTCTTCTGTATCTCAGAATGAGTAATTTCATATACTATGTGAGCTATTGTTTGACAAAAATGGGGTAAAGATACCCTAAGCATTGAATAATAGTTTTTTATTATGTCCTTTATATTGTTGAACATATGTTAGTAATGTTTTGTAGAAGTTACTGGCTTTGTTATGTAGTATTATATTTTTGTAGACAATTCTTATATCTTGAAATGCTAAGAATATTTTCATAAAAGGTTTGTATTCACAATTGATAATAAAATGAACCTGAGCAATTAATCTTTGTTTTTCTTTTATTATTGTTGATGACTAGAATGTATTTGATTGTAGTGATTATAACAGCTTTATGAAAAAACTGTTGACTAAGCACGGTCCTGTTAAATATGAGCCCGTGCCTCAAATTCAGGTACTCTGAATATGTTATGTCACTTTTTATATCCTGCAACAAGCTTGACTTGAGACAGCAAGGTGCTCATTCAGCTTTCTTGACGTGGCAGTGCCTTACCTGGAAAATCTGTGACATTTACAGGTCAGTAAAGTTAAATTTTCCTGTTTCCAAGTGGCAATTTAGTTTTATCTTTTCATATGTCATCTCAGAGAGACTGGTCTTGGTTTTAGTACTCTTGCTTTTTTATGCAATAAGGTGATCCTTGGTTTGTCCCAATGCTTCCCGTACCTAGTTGCTGCAACAATCAAATGAGCTTCTCATCAAAGAAAAAGATCAGAAGAAAGACTTACTTGGTTTGTAAAACCTCACTCAATTTGATACATATCACAAAATGCTGTAGTAAAAATTATTAGCATTATATAAACTTTGTTGTAATTATAAGCACGCTACATGCCCCAGACTGCAATTTTGTCTGGCTTGGTAAAAGCAAAAGGAAACAGAACTGAGCAAGGGAGTTATTCTGCTTGAGAGATTTGTGCCTGTAATTAATCTTTATTTGTGTGTGACTTTACTTGATGCTCTAGAGAAAGCAAGATGAGGGAAAACTAATTACATAATGGGGAATTATTAGAAGTGTTAGTCTATCTATGCACTACTCTCGTCTTTACCTTACATGCCCCCAAATTAACTCATCGTAGGCTAACTTGATGCCATCTGTTTCTTTGACTCTAAAATAAGCAAAGGAGAAGCAGGGTACTTTCAGGAGA